CTCTTCTCTCTCTCCTCCCCTCCCCTCCCCTACCTTCTTCTCTCCTGTCCTCTTCTCTCCTCTCCTTTCCTCTTCTTCTTTTCCACTCTGTCCCTATGGGAAGCCATGAACGCCCAAGGCTTCCAATTACAACCCGTGCGCTCCTGTTCCCCGAATGAAGCGGTGATCTATTTTCAGACGTGTTGCTACCGTTGTTTTCACGGGAGGACTGTGGTCACTTTCTCACCCCCCCCCACCACCACCTAGAACGGCTCCTGTTGTACGCGCGCGTCGAGTGTCAGGTAACGTAGACAGGCATGGGCCCCACGAGGAACCCATCTTTCCTCCTTTTGACAGAGCCCAGCAGGGTCCAGGACATCAAGGTGAAGGCGTTGTCTGACAACAGCCTGGAGGTAACCTGTGTCCCGCCGATAGAATTCAATGGCCCCGACGACGGTGACTACAAATTGGATGTCAAAACAGGGGGCGCCCCGGTTACAAGTGACTCTAAGAGAGAGTGCAAATTCTACGTGACGGATCTTCACTACTCAACACAGTACACCTTTGAGGTGAGACGGCCATTCCTGTTCCCCCTGGAGCTCTGATCCCCGTCGTCACGTCGTCACGACGGCTCTGTAGAGCTCCCATAACCGAGGCCAGCGCCCACCGGGCCTCAGGAAGCGCTGGGGTCTGACCCCATCACACCCCAAAAGTCGTGAAAGTTTGACTCCAAACTTTCCACCACAGGTGCTAACAACAGTGGTTTCAAGCAAGAATTTTGTCAGAATATTTTTGAGCTTCAATAGGATATCAAGATATTCCCTTTATCTGACTGATCTATTCCAGATCATCATTATGTGCTTTTTATTTTTTTAGTTTAGTTTATACACACACACACACACACACACATATATATAATGTCAGAAAGGAATGGAGAGGGAGAGATAGAAACATCAATGATAAGAGAGAATCATTAATTGGCTGCCTCCTACTGGAGATCGAGCCTGCAACCCAGGCATGTGCTCTTGACTGGAATTGAACCCGGGACCCTTCAGTCCGCAGGCCGACGCTCTATCCACTGAGCCACACCGGCCAGGGCCTTGTGTGCTTTTTATGTATAGCTCTTGTTAACACAACATGGGAGATATTTCCATCTTAAGAAAAACGCCAAGACATTACCCTCTTATTAGGGAATTTGACTCTAAATTATGAATGTGTTGATGTGCTTGCCTAGGTCTTATTCCTTCGGCTCCTTTACTCTTGTGAATTATAACTTGCATTATGGCTTAAATGGGCTCAGATTTCTTTACATCTTGTTCACTGTTAAATATATTCTTTTTAACAATATTTCATAAGATACTGACATCACCTTAGAGTTTCGACTTTCAATTCAAGATAACCAGTATACTCTTAATAAAAATTTAAAAAAGTGTTGTATGAGAAATAATGTATATGTTACATTATGATATATAAAATTTACATGAGAAAAGTATTTTCTCTTTTATCACGGATATTCAGGTTTACTACCACAATGGGCATTATGGTGGACCACCAAAAAGTGCTTCTGCATCAACATCTTGTAAGTCATTACTTGGCTATTTATTATATTGATATTTTAAAATATATTAAAACTTACCAGGCTTAAATAGTTTACACTCATATCATGTTTAACTATGAAACATTTAAATTACATTTTTCATAAACATAGTATTTTAAGTTGCCCCAAAAGATGAGCGCCGTATTAAAACACAATCTCTTAAATGCAGATTAAGAGATTCAATGATGAAAGGGTTGTTGATTTCATAAAATAATTCATAAACGGATTAACCTGCACAGACTATTAAGTGATGATTATCTGTCAGATCCTTGTTCCTGTTAGCAACAAAGTGTGTTTGTTTTGTGTATTTTAAACATACTTTTATTGATTTCAAAGAGGAAGGGAGAGGGAGAGAGAGAGAGAAACATCCATGATGAGAGAGAATCATGGATCGGCTGCCTAGTCCACGCCCCACACTGGGGACCGAGTCCACCACCCGGGCCTGTGCCCTGACCGGGAATTGAACCGTGACCTCCTGGTTCCTAGGTCGATGCTCAACCACTGAGCTGTGTGGGCCGGGCCTTTTTGCCTGTTTTTAAATTGAATTGCCTGTCTTATTATTATTGAATTGTCAGACTTCTTTACTATTCTAGATAAAGTCTTTTGTTGGGAATATGTTTTGCAAATATTCTTAAAATGTCTGTATCGGTTCTGAATAATATCGGCAAAATTCACAACACTGGGCATGTCCTGTACTTGGTCTCATTCTGAATATGTTGTTGTTGTTGTTATTATTATTTGAAAACCTCAAACGAAGTGAGAATGTGATGAAAGGGTCGCATTCTGAAGGTGACGATTCAAAGAATCCGGCGAACTCTGTGCTCTCAGTAACCGCCCTCCGCGTGTTCTAATTCGCTTCTAGATAATTCCAAAGCCCTGATCGCATTCCTGGTGTTTCTGATCATTGTGACATCCATCGCCCTGATGGTCGTTCTCTATAAAATCTATGACCTGCACAAGAGTAGGTCCAGGTAAGAGTTGATGTCTAAGTGAGAAAAAAAAAAAAAACAAAAGAAAGAAAGAAATACTAAGATAGTCAGAATGGGGAAGGCGCCCACCGGGGAGGCCAGGTGGGGACCGGGGAAGGGACAAACGACAAGGCCGCATGACGCCCAGCTCACCGCTGAGCCTGGTCCCATTGGTTTATATCAAATACCAACATTTCCTACGTTCGCTGATGACGGCATGGATCCCGTTCCATGACGACCAACGAAAAGTATATTCATCTCCGTGCCCAGTGGGCCAGAGCGACGTAGGCATGGCCAGGACCAAAGAAAGGTGGGCCGTGGGAAGGCGTATGCATGCCCTTGGCCAGGGGCAGCTACATTTTATGAAAAACCAGCGTTTTACACTCAAATAAATCCGTCTCTTCTCTGAGGGGAGCAGGCAGCCCTTCGTTGGTATGTTTTCCTTCCTCATCTTTCCTTTGCCCTGCTCTCCTCTCCTCCTTCATTGTCTCCTCTCCCTCGCCCCGCCCCCCGTTCTTCTTCCTTCTCTCCCTGGGCCACTTCCCCACCCGCCTTGCTCTCCCCTTTTTATCTTTCCTGCCTCCGTTCCCTCCTTCCTGTGGCACATTAATGAAACATGAGTTGAGAGCCAATCAGATGCTACGTTTCAGAATAGAAATGTACGTTTCTTCTTTCCCCAGCAATTTGGATGAAGAACAGGAACTGGTTGTAAGGGGTAAGTTTGCCGTTTTTTTTTAACGGATGAATTACACTCCCCACACATTTGAATCCATTCAGAGAGGAAGGGGGAGGGAGAGAGAGAGAGAAGCATCAATGAGGAGAGAGAGTCATGGACCGGCTGCCTCCTGCACGCCTCACACTGGGGATGGAGCCCGCAACCCGGGCATGTGCCCTTGACCGGGGATCGAACCATGACCTCCTGGCTCCTAGGCCGATGCTCAACCACTGAGCCACACCGGCCGGGCTGAATTCATTCATTTTCAATCAGAAAACAACACTTTTTATCTAACCCGGACCTCCTCGGACGATGACAACACTTGCATTTACTAACTTAACCAGCAAGGGTTAAAGTCCTAAGATGTAGACATAACGATGCGTGTGACCCTCGGAGAGGGAGCCACGCCCCTGGCTGGTCCTGACTCTTCCATCTGCTTCAAGATGACGAGAAACAGCTGATGAACGTGGAGCCGATCCACGCGGACGTGTTGCTGGAAACGTACAAGAGGAAGATCGCGGATGAAGGGAGACTCTTCCTGGCCGAATTTCAGGTGAGAAAAGGACGCGTGGCCCAGGCCGCCCCGCTGCCACAGAGGCGGTCGCTGGCGAGGGGGAGACCGCTCCGGTAGAATCTGCCGTGACCGTGGGATCCTGGCTTCTTTCAGAGCATCCCCCGGGTCTTCAGCAAGTTCCCCATCAAGGAGGCTCGGAAGTCCTTCAACCAGAACAAGAACCGCTACGTGGACATCCTGCCCTGTACGTGGGGGCCGAGAGCGGGGTTTCTAGACGGGTGGGCTCCTGGGTTCTTCAGTATTTTAAAAAAATATATTTTTATTGATTTCAGAGAGGAAGGGAGAGAGAGAGAGAGAGAAGCAACAATGATGAGAGAGAATTGTAGATCGGCTGCCTCCTGCACGCTCCCTACTGGGGATGGAGCAGGAAGCCTGGGCATGTGCCCTGACGGGAATCGAACCGGGGACCCTTCAGTCCACAGGCCGGTGCTCTACGCGCTGAGCCAAAATGGTTCTTCAGCGTTGGCTTGGTTCTTCATCACTGACTCCTGTTTCTGTTCCCCGGGGCAGATGACTACAACCGCGTGGAGCTGTCGGAGATCAACGGAGATGCAGGGTCCAACTACATCAACGCCAGCTACATCGATGTGAGTACAACGCCCACGGCCAGGGTTAGGGGACGTCTGTCTTCCCCATTCTGTCCTCGGCCCTTTGCCTTCCGTTCCTTCTTGGCCATGGAAACATTCTTGGGTGCAGAGCACAGACACACGCCAGTCATGTAAGTTGTTTGTAAATGCCACCTGACCTGGTTAGCCCAGTCCAATGCCTGGATGAGTTATTAAAATCCTCGCTGATTGGAAATGCCCAGCGAAATTTGCAACCGAGAAACAGTGGCAAAATACCGTCCTTCCCCCGAGCCCCCCCTGCCCCCCGATTTTGCACATGAAGGAATGACCAGGCGTTCAGTTGACAATGTGCCTTTTTTTGTGTCTGTTGCACAGGGTTACAAGGAGCCCAGGAAGTACATCGCTGCACAAGGTAACCCACCGACCGTCCCGGATTCTCTGTGAGGCACCGTTTTGGGGCGCGTCAAAGAAGGGGTGTCTTAGGTTGCATGTGTCCCCCTCCTAGGTCCCAGGGAGGAGACCGTGGATGATTTCTGGAGGATGATCTGGGAACAGAAAGCCACGGTCATTGTCATGGTCACTCGATGCGAAGAAGGGAACAGGGTGAGGATCCGATGACTCTGGGGGGAGGGGGGGTGGGTGGCTGGGAAGAGAGAGTGACTGGTCACATTTCCAAAGGCCACAGTCACCTGCTTGGTGATGAGAGATGGTTCCCTATTTTAATCAGAGGAACACTGGATTGAAACGTTTCATCTACGTATAAAAAAAAAAATCAGATTTGTACGTGTGTACCTAGATGTCCACATGCACCTCTATGTAAATGGGAATGCAGTGTCAGTGCTTAACTGCTGGACTTAAATGTGATTCCTATTTCCTGTTGTAAGTATTGTTATAAGTTCTATGAGCCCATTTCACAAGTCCCTGTGAATACTTGAAACATAACAGAGCTTGGGCCCTAGCCGGTGTGGCCCAGTGGATAGAGTGTCGGCCTGTGGACTGACGGGTCCCTGGTTCAATTCCAGTCAAGGGCACATGTCCGGGTTTTGGGCTCCATCCCCAGTGGGGGGTGTGCAGGAGGCAGCCGATCAGTGATTCTCTCTCATCGTTGATGTTTCTATCGCTCCCTCCCTCTCCATTCCTCTCTGAAATCAATTTAAAAAAGAAATATATATAAAAGCCTAAGCAACCAACCAACCGAACGACCGGTCGCTATGATGCGCACTGACCACCAGGGGGCAGACGCTCAATGCAGGAGCCAACCTCCCATGGCCGGCTGGCCCCTATCGTGCACGAATTTGTGCACTGGACCTCTAGTGTGTATATATGAGAATGTTTAAAAAGTCAGGAATACTTGCGGTTTTGAAAACCGGGATTGTGCGTGGTTACTTTAACCTGCAGAACAAGTGTGCCGAGTACTGGCCGTCGATGGAGGAGAGCGCCCGGGAGTACGGAGATGTCCTTGTGAAGGTCACGGAGTACAAAACCTGCCCGGATTACATCATCCAGAAGTTCACCATCACCAACGTGAGTTCCTTCCACTACGTCACTTTTGTCTTCGTACTATTCGTCCAAAAATACAATTCCCAGTCCTGGAAGATTGAGAATCGACTTATCCCTAAAGCCCACTTGCAAAGCTAGGGGGAAAAAACAACTGTCCTTTTAGTTGACGTTGGGAAGTTTGATTCTTTGAAGATCAATAGGTTTTTAAAAACTGACTTTAGCCCGGCCGGTGTGGCTCAGTGGTTGAGCGTCGACCTAGGAACCAGGAGGTCACGGTTCGATTCCCGGTCAGGGCACATACCTGCGTTGCAGGCTTGATCCCCAATAGGGGGCGTGCAGGAGGCAGCCGATCCATGATTCTCTCTCATCATGGATGCTTCTATCTCTCTCTCCCTCTCCCTTCTTCTCTGAGATCAATAAACATAGATGAAAAAACATGATCTCACTCATTTATGGATAATAAAGACCATCATAAACTGATGAACAAAAATAGATACAGAGGCAGAGCAGCCTCGAACAGACTGTCAAACTACACAAATCT